CATGTACTCGTTGAGAAAGGGTGAGAGATCAAGAGGGCCAGAGAAAATCGGCTTTGATGGAGGACTGTCTTTGCTGCCGCCGTCTGATCCTAAATGAATTTCCATCCAACGGCGTGAGCCGTCGTAGCCAATCCAAGCTCGGTGGACTGAACCATCGTCGAGAAAGATACCAACATCGGAAGCGTTGATTGTTTTGGTGGAGACTATCGTGCCGAGGTTGATTCCTACATGGTTGTCATTGGGGTCTCCGAACTCAGGATTGAGACGCGTGTCGAACTCGACTGCTATTGCCTTGTAATCATCCTGACAAGCGTCGTTGAGCATGCCCAGCCACGGGCCAGGCCTGCCAATGGTGAACTCGTCAGGGACAATGATGAAGGTGAGGCCACTGCCACCATGATCAGAAGAATTAGCACTGAAATTGGAAGAAGAAGCGTTGTGGAATTGAAAAGAGAAGGTTGTTTGGAAAGAAGCAGGGGACTGGGTGTGAGGGTCAAGGAGACGGATGGGAGAAGAGTAGAGGGCTCTGCCTGCTTGGTGTCTGAGATGATCAATATCATTGCCGTTGCCGTGGGGTGGATCATGATCATCAGGGATTTGGATGGCTGATGATGCGGAGAACTTGGCACTGCCAAGAAGCTTTACATCTTCTAAAACTCGGGGGTTTTTGGAGAAGCTGAAATCTGGGAAAGAGAGATGCTTGGTGACGTTAACCAGTGGTCCATGTATTGTTCTCACTACCTGAATGAACTATAACTGTGTGTTCCATAAACACCAAGCATATGAACCAGATGAAGCCATAGTTGTGGTTGCAGAAACCCATTCATATATTTTGAAGATTTGAAATGCTTTGATAATGGAAGGAGGTGGGGTGGGGGTTCCTACAAAGAAACAAGATTTGGACGGCTACAGAACTACTTGTACCAGTTGGGATAAATACGTATTGACATTGGACAAGTAGTTCTGTAGCTTTGTTTGATTAAAATCTGCAATTAGTTAGTTATGATTGAGAATCAAGTCGACAATAGAAAGAAATAGTGGCCACATATAAAGGTAAGATAGGAAAGCAGGCAAGTTAGAGATAATTTTTTGATTACAACATCCTGAACTGAAGCTGAAGAAGAGGAATGATGAATCATTTGTTACCAATCATATTATTATTGTATGACATATTCTGAGTCTCTCATCATAGTCATGCAACAAGTCATGGACGATGGAGATGGGTTTTGGGTCCATGCCATGTCCCTATACACTCTTTTTTCTCTCCCACTGAGTCTTCATTGGACCACCAGTTTGTGTTTTTTTCTTCTTTTTCCTTGGCTCTTGTTGGGCTGTTGTCGACCACCAGACCATATCAACAGCATTATTTCAAACTCAGATATTCAATTCTTACCCGCAAGGTATCATGTGTATTATCAATGATTCGACCCTTCAATAAAACACTCTCAAATACCAAAAACATGAACATGAAGAAAGAATGTCATTCTAGATAGGGATGAAAAATGGAAGCCCAATATCGATCTAGGGTAGATCAATTTTTTGTGTTTCTTGTTGCCCCGTTCCACTTCCTCCTTTTCCCTTCTTAACCTGTTATACTTGTTCTAAATCTGTGTTAAATATGTAAACTATACAAGTATTATAATCGTGAATCCCAAAACCGAGCATCGAGACATCACATAATTAAGCGGTGGGCACAAAATTTGTTCCCCCATATATATAAGGTCTAACAGAAAATCAAAAATCTAATGAAAAATTACTTTTAACACAAAATTATCGATCAGACGTCAAAACAAGCTTATAAATGATGCCAACTCCAACAAAAGGATAACTTCAGTTCCATGAGGAAATTAAACTACGTTCGGAAACTAAAACAAAACAGACACAGCTCATTCCTCTTCAAGGATGGTTCCCTTCTCGCTAACATAGATACCATCAAGAAACTTCCTGATATCCTTGTTCTTCACATGGCATTTCTGTCAAAAGATCAAATAAACAAAATTAAGGCTTCAGCATATGCAACTGCCATGTTAAAAGCAACAACAATAATACAAGTGTCTCCGAGCATTTGTAGAGAAAGAGAGAAATTGATATGAGTCATACATAGAGAGAGAGAGAGAGAGAGAGAGAGAGAGAGAGAGAGAGATAAGAAAATATAGACCTGGTTGATCAGAGCACATGACCGAGAAACAAGCTCAATATCATTTCCGTCCAATATCAGCTCATCCTTCACCTTTTCAGATCGGAGGATAGAAACCCCATCAAGCATATCCACCTTTCTCACCTGATTGAGCAAACACATAGTTCATCAAGACCCACACACTAGAAATCTTTGTTAGTTAGATTAAACAAAATTGTGCCATATCAAAATCAGTTATTGGCTCACAGGACAAAACATTTTAACCTAACCAATGACTCATTCGTTAGCAATTCATAACTGCAAACAGCACAACATTCTAATTTCTCATCATAACCATGCCATTCAGGTTTCTGAGCTCAAGCAAGAGCTTGAACACAGGCCTTTTTCACATGCCCATATATTTGCATGAAATCATTTCCAATACCTAATTGCATTTTATGAGGTCAAAAGCTACACAGATTCCAGATGAAAAGAAATGGTATCATCTTTCTTGAACATAAAAATTAGAGCATATGGGACATATGATAAACACAGAAAATAAAGTGATTATACGGAGGACAAATCTTGACCCAAAAAGAGGAGGACAAATGACTATTCTATTTGAAAATATTTCTTCCACAATAATAGTCCACATGCTAATGAAATCTGTTTCTCTTACAAAACTAGAACATAACTGACAACGTTAAACAGCATATGTCAATAAGGTCCAAAATACCTAAAGACTAAGCACAGACATGTATTCGGGCTAACCAGATAACCATAGACTACAAGCATGCTTTCACTAAATTCAAACGGAAAGTTTAAGAAATTCCAAAACATCAGTACAAAAGGATTAACAAATCTCATCAGTACAAAAGAAACAGTTGTAAGAATCTATCAAACAAACAAAAACACCAAAATGCACAAGAAACATTTATCACAAATGACCCAGATACAAAAAACGCAAAACAAAACAAAGCAAAGCCAGCTAAAATCTGGGAAAACGGTACCTTCTTTTCACCCAAAAAGTTACGGATCTCGATCGACTTGGCTGCGTTAGTGATGGAAGCATTGATGGGAAAATGGGCATATACAAAACGCATCTTGTAGCGGTAGCCCTTGGTGACACCAGTGATGAGATTCTCAACATGGGAGAGGGCAGTGCGAATGGCTGCGCTGGTTTTGCGTGAGCCAAACCAGGCATCGATCTTGAGCTTTCGCTTGCCGGTTTCCTCATCCTTGATGAGCTGAAAGTCCAAGTTCAAATGCTTGAAGTTACGAACAAGCTTGCCACGAGGACCTTCGACCTCTATGATCTTGGCATGGACCTTGATTTTGACCCCATCTGGGATGTCCATGGTCTCGGACGACAGAATGGTCTTCATCTCCGCTACCTCTCTTTCTCTCTCTCTGCGGCTCTGGTGTGTAAATGAATGATTTGGGAGAGACAGCAAACCCTAATGTGTTATGTATGCTTTATATAATACGATTGATGTTAAACCCTAAAACCCAATTTATAAAGGCCGGGCCGTTCGTAGCCGAAAGAATGGAGCCCAATATAAATCTGGGCTTGATCAGACGTAGCAAAAATGAGAATGTTTCTTGGGCTTCGAGTGGAAAAGTCATAGCCTGTTTTTATCGCAAATGATCCTTGAGGTTCACGAAATTATCATATTTCGTCCTTAAACTTTTGTTGTGACATTAGAAGTCCTTAACATTACCCTCTCCCACTTATTCTTAATTTTAACCTAATTGTTATAAATGTGTAAGAAGCTTGAGACAACAAAAGTGAGTTACATATCGTATCAAATCAGATCATGGGTGGGTACCAATCATTTTATGATGAGAGAATTTCAACCATTTGATAACAATTCAACTTCAACCCTATATTATCTTGGAGAGAGGGAGAGTAGAGGGGGAGAGAACAACTAGAAGGTGGGGTGGGGGTGAGTTAAGAGTGGGGATGGGGTGGCCAAGTCAATGAGTCCGCCTTTTACACACAAATTAGGCTCCCTTCATTAATTTAGAGAAATTTTATATTCAAAAATAATAATAATGCATTGTTAATTCGAATCATATAACCAATTAAAAAGATTAATAAGAGTCCATAATAATCCCTTGACACCTCTATATTGAATTTGAAGTGATCATGAAAAGTTGGTGGGGGAGTTTGTTTGAACCTCCAACATGGGTTTGTTTCAAATTCCTTCCCCACGTTGATCTAAAAAACAATCAGAGTTTCTAATGGCTGAGATTAATTGCACATATTTGGTCAAATAAGGAGAAAACAAATGCAGAGGAATAGAGATAATTTGGGTAGTAAAGTACCATGAAATTGCCAGGTATCATATTTATTCATTAATTAAGATTTGATTTTGTTTTTTCACTAAATACATAAAGAGTTTTTTCAACTACTACTTAGTTACGTGACGATGTTAAAAGCAAACCAGGTACAAAGATGATGATCAAAAGTTCAAAACAGATCTCTTATCTTTCGTGGTTGTTTATAGCAAGCAACACACAGTTTCAGAGGAAGTCAGTTTGGTGAAAGGCGCCGCACAGAGTTTGAGTCTTGAGATATGAAAGGGCAGGGCAGTGAGCAGAGGCAAAGGCAGGGCCAGAAATAATAGAGAGAGAGAGTAGTGGCATGGCAGTGAGGCAGAGTAGTGGCTGACACAGAGAGGTTCCTAACGACGAATATATGGCATCTGTAGCCATCTGTGCCCCATTGGATTTTCTATTTCTAATGCGCAGTTGCATTCATTTCTCTTATTTCTCTCTTTGGCTCTAGGTGTTTTCGGAATCATAACATACTACAAATTAATTAGAAATCCCACTGCAGTTCGAGAGAGAGAGAGAGAGAGAGAGAGAGAGAGAGAGAGAGATGGATATGGGTTTGTTGAAAAAATGGTTTAAGTGGTCGGAGTTGGTGCTGGCCATGTTGATGGTGCAGATATTTGTAACTGGGATGCAATTGCTTTCCAAAGTGATATTGAGTGAGGGAACCTTCATTTTTGCACTCATGGCCTACCGTCATATCGTTGCTGCCATTTGTGTTGCTCCTTTTGCCTTCTTTTTCGAAAGGTTTAATATTCTTTGCTTCACATTCTTCTCGTGATGTTTTCTCATCTTTTCCATGTTTTAACTGTTTTCTTTTTTGGTGGCATTGTTGCAGCAGTGTTAGACAAATCAAGTTGGGTTGGTCAGTTTGGTTCTGGCTCTTTGTCAATGCCTTAACAGGGTAAGCCGTGTTTGGTTTGGTTGGTTTCGCATCATGTTTGACATATTTTGCTATCTCGATGCCCTTTAAAGATTATTGCAAATCTAATCTGCTTTTCATGCATTTTGTTTTCTACTTTTATACGAAGTGGCATTTTAAATATATAGAAAATAATAAAAATGCAGGATCACATCTGCGATGGGATTGTTTTACTATGGCCTCCGAGACACCACGCCTACATATGCTACAAACTTCCTCAACTTAATTCCGATAGCAACGTTTGTGCTCTCCATCATCACTCGGTAAGCTTTTCTGAGGCACCCCTCAACTGAAGCTTTGCATGTGTGTATATATATAGAGAAAATGTTGTTAGAAGTTTCTTTTGCTTCTGTTTTGAATTGTTGCTTGCAGCATAGATAAATTGAACCTGCAAACCAGAGCAGGCAAAGTCAGGACTTTGGGGGTAATTGTATGCGTTGGGGGGACCCTCACTGCTAGCCTTTACAAGGGAAAGGCATTTTATATGCGCCCGCACAGCCATCACTCTCATATCACTGTCAACACAACTTATGCTCACTGGACACGTGGCACTATCATGTTGGTAGGTAGCTGCCTGTCCTGTTCTACATGGTTCATAGTGCAAGTATGTAATTCTTTTTTGCAAACCATTTGATTAAGCAGGAAATGTAGCCTGCCATGGTCTAGGATATGGTTTCTGTAACTGATGCTGGTAAACGTTCTTCTTGTTTCTCATGAACAGACTAAATTGCTCAAAATATTTCCACTCAAATATTGGGCAATAATGTTAACGTGCATTATGGCAACCCTGCAATCAACAGTCATAGGCCTATTTTTAGACAGACGGGCGGCTTCGTGGAGGTTAGGGTGGAATTTGCAGCTAGTTACGATAATTTATTCGGTAAGCTTAATTACAGACCATCAAGCACTACTTCTTCCTTGATGTGTAAATTTTAACTGATATCCAGTGGTCAAGACTGAAAAGGTTTGTTTTTTCTTTGAACTCTAGGATAAATTATGTGCAAGCTACTGAATGAATTGATTGTAATTGTTGTATAGGGAGCGCTAACCACAGCTGCAACGTTCTGCTTAATTTCATGGGCCATCTCAGTCCAAGGACCTCTCTATCCTCCCATGTTCAACCCATTGTCTCTAATTTTTGTTGCCTTATCATCAGCTCTCATACTTGGCGAAGAGATCAGAATCGGAACGTACGAGTTTTATACTTTGCTAAGTATTTACTGTATGTATATTTCTTACATTACGCTGCAAATATCAATCCAAACTTAATTATTTACTTTGCTTGGACTCAAATTTCTGCAGTTTGCTGGGCATGATTCTGATCATGTTTGGATTGTACTCCTTCTTGTGGGGTAAAAGAAAGGAAATGAAAAGCCCAGATTTGCCAAAATCAGAAGTTCCGGGAGTAGGGAAAACAAATGGTGAGCTGCCCGCAGCCACAGGGTTGCAACTGTCACCCTTGTGCTGATTGCACTGCTAATGTTGAAGATGGTTGTGAGGAAAGCCATTTCCCAGAAAAAGTTCACATCACAGTAAGCAAAGAACTAGTTCTAAACAAAGTCGAAGGCTTTTTTTTTTTTTTTTTCAATCATTATGTACTTCAAAGGTTGTTCAGACTGTATCTTGCTTTCAGAAAACAAATTTAATTAGAACATAAACTGAGAAAAGCTTCCCTAACAATTTCATGAACCTCTGGTGGGTTAAGAGCAACATAACAGTAAACTAACTCTTCCATATCATTCCAATCACAAACACCCTCGTACCGGATCATCTCTAGTATTGATTCCCTCATATCAAAAATTGGGTCTGTGCTGTACTTGACCAAGCATGCACTACCTGCAAAAACACCACAAACATCATCAGGCAAGCTGGCTGAGAGGCTGAGTCTGTTTCTCCACCTCTGCTTCTCTTTCTTTTCTCTCTTCTTGTTATGTTCCTCGGTGACATCCATGGCTCCTGCCTGCAAAACACAACACAATGCTTTGCATGAAGAAATTAAGTAGCTAGCTTGAATTTGTAGTAGCATTATTCAGCCATTGAAAGACATGAATGCATGCGAGCCTGCTTCTTGTGAATATAGGCGGGTGCCAAAGGAAAATTCATGTGAAGAATTTAAAAGCACACAGAGTGTCAGTGAGTGAGTCATTAATGGGTCGGATCAGAGATTTAACATTGTCCAAATTGCATGGGCTTCGACCCGCCATCATACTAGCCCAAGCTTCCCCTTACTTTCGCAAAACTTTTTAGTTTTTATCATACATCAAAATGTAACTCATTCTCAACTTTCTGCCGCCAACCCATTTGTTTTGTTGCGTTGAGTCTCTAAATGTCACACACCTGACGCCATGGCCAAAAGCTGATGGCAACTTGCACGCCTAGTTAAACCAACCCCTCATGGGTCCGTGGGGGCAATGGGGCATGGCGGGAAAGGTCCTTTCTCTGTCCGTGGGGTTCTTTCACGCCAGTTAAGCAAGATACAGTCTGTCGACTTTGAAGTACATAATGATTGAAAAAAAAAAAAGCCTTTGACTTTGTTTGCCAATTTTGTTTAGAACTAGTTCTCTGCTTACTGTAAAGTGAACTTTATCTGGGAAATGGCTTTTCTCACAACCATCTTACAGTTGCAACCCTGTGGCTGCGGGCAGCTCCCCATTTGTTTTTGCTACTCCCGGAGCTTCTGATTTTAGCAAATCTGGGCTTTTCATTTCCTTTCTTTTACCCCACAAGGAGTGGAGTACAATCCAAACATGATTATAATAAAAAATTGCCCAGCAAACTGCAGAAATTCGAGTCCAGGCAAAATAATTAATTAATTTTGGATTGATATTTGCAGCATAATGTAAGAAATATACATACAGTAAATACTTAGCAAAGTATAAAACTCGCACCTTCCGATTCTGATCTCTTCGCCAAGTATGAGAGCTGATGATAAGGCAACAAAAATGAGAGACAATGGGTTGAACATGGGAGGACAGAGAGGTCCTTGGACTGAGATGTGTTGGCGGGTCCTTACTATTTTAGGATTTTGGTTCCTTATTATGTTAGGATTTTGGTTACTTACTTTCATAGATCCATGGAGTCAATGGGGCATGGCATCTGTAGAAATGTCTTCATCCATCCATCTCCGAAACTGATAGGTCCTTTCTCTGTCCTCACTCTCTCATCTCACGTATCCAATCCGATTGTTTATGCTTCACATTTGGAATTATACGTCTGACTTTGCACAATATAATTGAATACAGATAATTTTCATTCCAAAGCCAAACATGCCAATCTCATCCATCACTGACGTGTAGTGATGAATAGTTATGCCTCCCACTCCATGTCCGTATGTGAACAAATAATTAATCATACATTTCTCAACTTCCTTTTGGGGCCACCACCTACATTTGGCGATTATAAGTCAGAACTTTGGGAATTAACAACCATCATTTATAGTTGATCTTTCAAAAGATATTTTACTAGGATTATGTCGAGGACATATGAAAATTAAATACTCTGTTCACTTTCTAGAATCTAGAGTGTAAAACAAACGCTAGATAAGGCCGAATCGAAGTTGTTTTTATTCATCCACGACCACGACAACATTTGATTTGAGATAGATAAATGAGACAACAAAAGATCAGAGTCTCTCTAAATGATGCGTTTATTCTGTAAGGCGTGGCCAAGATTGAATGCTTGCAGCATCTAATTCAATAGTTTTGCACAATGCTAGGAGGACCAAGCGGGAAAAAGAGAATGAAAAACTGAAAGTACCCTTTTTCGATTCGATATTGCTATATTCATGGTAAACGTTAACTCAGGCACATTATTTGTGCTTGGATCTTATCACCCTACCACACCCATTTTATTTAGAAAAATCCCGATTTAGGCATATGAATAACAAGGCATGTGCATATTACACGCCTTGAATGCACGTGAGTGATTATAGCTGCCGGGCGGTTGATAGTAAATCACAGTTTCTAACTTATTATTAATAAACGATGTCTGTAATGAGTTGGATTAACAATCCGATTCCTAATCATTTATGCGCTCATGGCATCAAGCACGGTTTTGTAGTAATAATTAGCCAGTACAAATCCTCAATCCATATCCAAAAGCTTTCCTCCTCCTCATCATCAACACCCTTTCTTTTCCAACTGTCGGCTGAGGGAGAGGATGAAAATTATGTGGACCCCCCTATTGTCAACCTTGCCTTGCCTACGTAATTACCGAGATATTCGACCTTTTATTCTCCCTGTTTTAATAATAATAAAGGTGATTTAAAAAGGACAGTCGCAAAATTTACAATAAGAAAAGGAACTTATTTTAAAATAAAGAAATAAACATTTTTTTTAGGGGTAACAATGAAGAAAGAAACTTGAAATGTGAAAAGAGCGCAAGAGGCAGAAGAGGCCGCGTTGGTTATAGGCAAAGAAGGAACCTTTGGCAAGTCTTGGGGAAGAAGACTCAAATTGCAAAACGCGAATAATGCGCCCAAGATTTAGTATTTCTGGGGGCGCCCTAGGAAATATGCCATTTGCCCCATTTGCAAATTGCAACTTCTATACATAGAGAAGAGAGGAGAGAGTTATGGCCATGGCCGTGTAAGACTCTAAATATTATTCAAAACACGTTCTACATAACTGTCGTTTTGACAAAGACAACAAAAATGAGGTTGGCCTTTCACAACACAACCCACAACCCACAACAAGTTGAAGAAGGTGGTTGTGGCGGTGGTCTTTCTTCGTATTCTTCTCTTTGAGAGGTCGAGGATCACTCCCCACTGCCGGTATTTCTGTTAACTTTCCCTTTTCTCCCCCAAAACAACGTCGTCCCCAATATTTTATTTTCTCCTTTCTCTTTCGAATGCAATCGGGTCAGAATCCGTCTAAGAAAAAGCAGTTTTTCTGTTGCATTGGACCACCAGACCATCATCATTCGGCTATCAGAGCCCTTTGTTTTTTTGTTTTGTTTTCACCAGGCAGGGCGAACTGTTTTGCATTTTAATATTCTGGGTGCTGGTGATATTGTTGTGAAAATGAAGAGCAGGGTATCACGAATTGGAAGCTATGCAATTGCATCTTCCAAAAGAGACGGCCACCATCAACAGCCTTGCATTACGTGCACCACTTTCAACATCCTCGCTCCAATCTACAAGCGCCTCAACCATGACGTACGTATACTATTCATTCTTGTTCATTTCGCAACAATCATAAAGGTTTCATTTTTGAGTTTCATTGTAAAGCTTCGATATTTGATGCTGTGTTCTATCATTTGTTAATGGGTATTGTTGATTTTGCCTAAACCATTGTTCATTATTCATATATGTAAGTATATATAGTGAAAAGCTTCTTCTTTTTTATTTTATAGTCCATAATTTCTGATGGGTAATCTTAATTTGGCCTCAAGCCTCATTTATTTTATGCCATGATAAACAGTCTCCTCTTGCTTCTGTTTTAAAATCAATTTTTATAATGGGTAATCTCATTTTCAATTCTTTTTATTCATTTGTTATAAATTCAGGACCCCAATTGTCGAGAAAGTGATTACAGAGCGTATTGGCTGGCCAGGAATCAAAGGATATTGGATTGTTTGTTGGCGGAGAGATCTTCCATCATTTGTCTTCAGGTTTGCATTTTAAACTTATTAACGGATTAGGATACATTTTGTGATGGCGTAATGCTAATATGGTGCTTATTATCTCTGTCTTTGGTGCACGGATTGGCACAGGAGTTCTGGGTAGGAAATGAAGAGCTAGTGAATATTTATGAGAAGAGACTTGGTGATGCTGGTTATGTCAACTTTCAGCTAGCACGGACCAACAACCGTGGCGATGGTACTGACTTCTTCGTTGTCAATATAAAGAAAAATCTCTTCTTTTTTTGGGAATTAAGGAAACTGTTCATCCTATTTTAATTGATCTTGACCCCCGCCCAGAAAATGAAAAAGGGAAAAGTTTCTGAGAAATCTGTCAAATGAAGAGATGGGGGTATGAAAGTACCACCTTTGATTTAGTTAGACAGAGAATTGATTACAACATATAACTTCTGATTCAGGGTGATCCTTAAGCTGACTCTTGTGTTCTCCAGTAGCCATTTAAGCTTTGTCAGAATTTCCTTCTTATGTCAGTCCTAAATAATTGTTTATGACTTGAATTTGAAGCACAGACACATTATACATCATGATTCATAAGGGTTTCTGCTGGTGTACAGGTTTGCTGACTGCGGTGCATAAGGACTACTTTAGAGTTGTAAACTATCAGGAGATTCTATTCAATGATTGCGGTGATCGTGTTGCTCAGTTGTTACATGTGGAATTAGCTACCCCAATTTCACAGTTTCGAAACAATGATATTAGGCAGGATATCCTCATTGTGAACACCCACTTGTTATTTCCTCATGATTCAAGTTTGTGTATAGTTCGATTGCATCAGGTAACTTCATTCTCTATTGCATAAACATTTTGTTAGTTATTACCTATTACTAACCTAATGGTATTATCCTCTGACAACATCTTGTCTATTTCGAATCACAGGTCTACAGAATCTTACAATACGTAGAGTCTTATCAAAAAGAGAACAAGCTTAATCCCATGCCCATCATACTCTGCGGGTATTTCTAATGCCTTATTATTTATGAGATTTTTTCCCAATTTTCAAATTAGATTCATTTGTAACCTTTTGTTGCAATCTATTCTTGCTTCAGTGACTGGAATGGAAGCAAACGTGGACATGTTTACAAGTTTCTTAGGTCCCAAGGGTTTGTATCTTCTTATGATACTGCTCATCATTACACCGATGCAGATGCACACAAGGTCAATATCTTCAACTTTACACCAATAGTTTTGTTTCCATATGCCTGTAACTCATGTCTTTCATGTTTTTCATACAGTGGGTTAGCCACCGAAACCACAGGGGAAACATATGTGGCGTTGATTTTATATGGCTTCTCAATCCTAATAGCTACCGCAAATTACTAAAAACAAGTTGGAGTGAGGCAGTATTTGGCATGTTCAAGGTCAGCAATACATATTACACCTTTTTTAGTTGCATTGCCGTAAGACCTTTCTCAGATGTAGTTGCATGAAGTTTTATACTTTCAAATGTTGTGTTCCTTTAAACCAACCTTTCTTTCGGTCTCTAATGGGAGAGAATTTTCGCATTTTCAGTATCTACTACGAAAAGCTTCCCTGACAGAAGATGATGCCTTTGCCTTTTTGAAGGCTGATAATCCTGGTGATTACATTACCTATTCAGGTTTCTGTGAAGCACTTCGACAGGTGTGATATCAATTGAAACAAATATTTTTTTTCTCTCTCTCTCTTTTCACTCTTGTTCTGAACAGAATCTCTGCCTGTTAGTAAATATGCCAACTGGTTCTTGTTATATTACGCAGCTTAATATGACTGGTCATTGCCATGGACTTAGCCTTGAAGAGACCAAGGACTTGTGGGTCCAAGCAGACATAGATGGAAATGGTATTCTTGATTACGCAGAATTTCAGGTAAATTATCTTCACCAACTATTTCTCATTACAATTACTCTTCTATACACCACCAAGATACTTGTAAAATTGCATGTAGACTTTAAGCACCACCATTAGCAGTGCGGGGAGTTTAAGCCTATATGTAGGAAAAGGCTTTTGCTTCCTGTTGCCAGTGGGCTTAGTTTGTTCACCTATGTGGGTTCTTCTGCGATTTGGTTCTAACAATTCAGCAATTTAAATCTATTTTGACACCATTAGACAGTTTCTTCGTCACATTTTGTAATGTTTATGTTACTACTATTGGCATTGCAGCAACGAATTTGGAATCCCACGGGATCAGAGCAGAGAGATGAAAGTGGTAATGACAGTGATAGTGGTTCCAAGGGAAATCAGGAACAAACAATTGGTTTCAGTGTCAAAAACGCGGTTCTCTTCCCTCCTGAAGTGGAGAAAGGAACTTGGCCTGAAGACTACTCTCTTTCCGATCATGCACGACTCACTGTGGTGTTCTCACCAATAAGAATGCCATGCTCTCAGATGATTCCCTGATCAACCTCAGCTGCAGCGGAGCTTTGGTTTAAGACTTGTACATAAAGAACCCAAAACCTGCAAAGTGGAAAAGGTCAGTGGCTGCCAGATCGTGGGGAATGGATGTAACACCAGTTTTCTTCAGCAAAGAGAGTAAAAAGAACTTCGATTCTAAAGCCAGAGAGAGAGAGTAAAAAGACCGCTGATCGGGGTTCCTCGTTTCTTCCTGTGCCTGAACCTTCTCAATCTTCCATATACAAGTAGTTCCAACAAACACATTAGAACTGGCCCTTTGATCTGCAATTGATAAATTGAACTGGCATCTGCATTACACTCGGTTCTATATTGCCTTCCATTGTTGCCCATTGATGTGAAAAAGGAAGCTAAGAATAAGAAACAAAGAGTTGTGTAGCTGTGCATTTGCATATGTGTCTAGATAGTTGCATAGCAGTGCATATGCGTAGGCTTGCAGCGATCCCCCACTATTTGTAGCACGGTGAGATGAGATGTACCAAATTAGAGGGTTTTTGTACTTACGGTGCATTGAGCATCAATGTTAATACAATCATATCGCAACTGATTTCGCTATTCTGCAGCACGTTGACATATTATGACAGCAACAATAGTTTGTGACAGACTTTTATCTTCTGGTTTGGTTTCCTCAATATTATGATCCTAGATGCAAAAAACCACCAGATCTTTTGACTGTGTCCATTAATTCAGAAATTTTGAAAATAATATCCTTGTTTGGACTGTGATTCAGAAACCCATTACTTGTGATTAACAAAGGAGCATGCCGGAAGTTTTAAATCTTCTGCCAAGCCTGATGTGAATAAGTTTCTCTTTTTGTTCTTCTTGTATGATGCATCAAACTAGAAAGAAAAAAAAAAAGCACAAAGTTTGCAAAAAGATGTAATAAGTGGAAGATGACCTCTCTCTTTGTTAGTTAAATGATAAGGATGATTCAAAAACCCCTTTGGCTTTCTAGCAGACCATATTAACATGGTATACTCCTATGTAAAAAGAGTTTAAGATTAGATTAAGGATAAAGGTCCTGCTACTTGTTGTCTCCCTTGTCAAATTTGAAATCACTTTCCACACCCATTCAAATTGCATTAATGCAATGCAACCCTGCCGAATGGAAAAGATTCTTTTTTCAAATCACTTTTCTTTGTGTTCACACTATTACCCATGATAGGATGAAAAGATGAATTTATGATACTATATATAAATCACAAATTAAGCAAAAACTGTGGAATCATTTAGAATCCTAATTATAAAATGTTGGATTAATAAATTGTAATCTTTTGAAAAGTATAAAGTGAAAAAAAGACCACACTAGTTTAACATATCAGCAGCGTAACTAAATATTCCAAGCTTTTTCTCTTTTTCGTATACAGAATATGAATATCCCAAGTCTTAGGGTTTTCTTCTGGGTTTCCCACAAGCTTCCCAAATGTTATTCATTGTAAATGAATGCCAATGGCGTCTCTTTATCATCAATAAAATCAATTTTAGACTCCATATTTCCATGCATGATGCTAGCTAGCCATCACTATGGTCACTTTGTTGCTACCAAACTATTTTTCTTTTAGTAGTGAGGGAAAATAGGATCCCCTCGTTATACATTTTGTTCTCATTTTTTGTGATTAAAAAACCACATTATCACAAAAAAACGCACACAGACACACAAACAACATCTTTTTGGCATTTATAGTTAAACGTCTAACTTTTTTGAAAATATGAACTAAGAAAAAAAACCCGACTCGAGGAGGACGCCACCAACAATCCAAATACTACATTTGGAAAATAAGGAAAATGATTATCACACAACAGTCTAATGTGTTATGTTAAAAACATCGATTTCAATTAAGTAAATTATTATTTAAAATAAAAATCCAAATTTACAGTCAGATAACATACCATTTTAAAGTAAATAATAAGAGCAATGCCCAAAAAAGAATAAACATACTCAAAATGTTATTTTCACACATTCTACAAGAACTATGTATATTACTATTTGTTTTGTTGATTAAAAATCCTCTACACTACATCATTTTCATAGACAAATCTTGTATATTAATGTTCTTTTCTTTTCCTTGGTGCTAAAGTTTCAGTTACATATCACTGTATCATACTCGTTCATCCTATCACATCAGTCTCTTTCTCCTTTACCAGGCCACCACATTCAAATTGTTTTTTCTTTTTGATAAGAACATTTCAAATTGCTAAAATACAAAAATAATATTAAGAAAATAATAACAATAATATATAGGAGGGTGTAATGTTCTTAGCAATTTCATATAATAATGAAACAAGCGGGACCAGGCTACCAGGTAAGCCACTTCTATTACGTGTCCGTATAGGATTGGCTTGCATGCACAACCCCGCCTCATTACCTTCGTCGCAACGCTTCCTTAATTTTCCATTATACCCCTACTGTCACGTGAAAACTACCGCTTCTACCCAAACGCGCTATCCTGTAGGACCTTTGATTCTGTGGGAACCATGGCATTCCCGAAATTACGAATAAAATGATGGCATTAAAATACCCCTACTCTTTGTGGGACGCGGTAAGTACGTGGAATTTAAACGCGGGTTGGTAGTCTGCTAGACATAAAACGAAGACTGAAGGACCAACTATCTGTGTTCTCTCTTTCAGCAGAGTCTCCCAACTTTCTTTACCTTCTCTCTGGTGAATGAAAAAGTATGGGCCACATCTAATCCCCTCTAAAAACCAATTCTTCAATTCGACTTCAAGAATCCTTCCGATTCCTAGGGTTCTCTTTTGGGTTCCTTGAAAAAACCTTGCTTTCCTACTGTTTCTCTCTCCCTCTCTCTATCTCTGTCTCTCCAGTCTCTGTGAATGTTGGTGGTGGATATGACAGTGCTCTCTACGAATACTCTGCCACTAGGGTTCAGATTTAGGCCTACGGATGAGGAGCTTATTGATTATTATTTGCGCTCCAAAATCAATGGCAATCATAAGCAAGTCACTGTTATTCGTGAAATTGATGTTTGCAAATGGGAGCCGTGGGATTTGCCTGGTATTTTTCTCTCTCTCATTACTTTTTCTGTTTATGGGTTTTGATTGAATGTAGTAAAAAATGGTTAGGCTTCCCTTATGATTAAAGCCTTATAGTAGAAAACGATCCATTTATGGCTTATTTAGTTGTCATATTCACGATTCACTTTCCCTTCACTTGTAATTAGGCAGGGATTTTGTTTAATTTTTGAAACTTGGGTAAATTTATAAACTTTTGGTAGCAACTACTTGATTTTCTCACCAATTATCTATCTTTGGATCTTAAATTTGGAATTTTTTCGCTCAATTTTAAGTTTATGTTGTGCTGCAGATTTATCAGTGATACGGACAACGGATCCAGAGTGGTTCTTCTTCTGTCCACAGGACAGAAAGTACCCAAATGGGCACAGGTTGAACAGGGCTACAGGTAGAGGGTACTGGAAGGCCACTGGCAAAGATCGTCAAATCAAGTCAGCAACAATCTTGATTGGTATGAAAAAGACCCTGGTCTTCCATACTGGTCGTGCTCCTAAGGGTAAGAGGACCAATTGGGTTATGCACGAATACCGCACAACACAAAAGGAGCTTGATGGCACTAATCCTGGCCAGGTTGGATTTTTCTTCAACTCCTGTTTTGCTTCTAAGTTTTCTGATTATTTTGTTTATGACATTTAATTGATCTTGGCTTCTCCAGTAATTGTTTTACTCTTTATTTATTTTGTTTCTATGACCATATTTTGTTTCCAAAATCGTTAATGTTAAGTGTAAATTGTATAATTTAGCAAGGGAGGAATTGGTGATTCAGGCGATGAAGGGAGGAATTGTTTGATGGTTTGGATGTCATATCATAATTGATGGAGCCTGCCGATAAATTACTGGAATGGGGCAACCAAAAAAGAACAAATAAGGTCATCTATAGACAAAACATGTAAATTTGTTAGTGATTAGCGAACCCCAATTATGAAGTATTAAGAAGCAATTCGAAAATCTCAATCTTTATTTGAGTCTCTTTGCATGGAAATACGTACAGTTTTTTAAAGAAAGTTCTTTAATTGTTTGCATGTGTGGTTGTATATTGCACTTTTGTAGATATCCAACACACATATGCACATATCACTGGCCTGTAATTTAAGATTACTAAAATTTCAAGTATTAAATCAGATGACCGTGTTTGTTGCTAATGTCCATGTTGTATTATGCAGAATCCCTTTGTTCTTTGTCGTCTGTTTAAAAAACAAGATGAGACTATCGAAGATTCAAACTTAGCTGAAGTTGAACCTACAGTTTCATCCCCTACTGCTGCCATATCTTCTCCTCAAGACACGCAGTCTGATCATGCACTGGGTCCAGCATCACCATCATTTGAGAGAAATGAAAAGCCGACTAAAGTAGAATGTACCACTGCTGATTGTTCAAATGGGATGGAACCAGACACTCTACAACCTATTGAGTGCCCTAGCAACTGCTATAATGGTTATGATGCAGAAGATCAACTGAATGTGCCGCTGGAGGAATTAGACATATTTTATGATCCCCCGCAACAGCCACTTTTTTCCCCACTGCACTCGCAGATGCAAACGGAGCTCTATTACTGTGGCAGCAATAACTTCAACAACGGTCATCAGGGGGTGAAGTTTCAATACGGCACCAATGATCAAGATGCAGATATTTCTGAATTCTTGAGCTCAATTTTTAATAGTTCAGGGGAGCACAGTGATGTAGATGCAAAAGTGGCAGTACCAGTGAGTGGAAACTTTCATGCTACTTAAATTTTAATCAAAATCGTCTTTTCAAGTTTTGCCTCCAAACTTGCGGTCGTAAATATCTGCAGCACTATACTAAAATAGTTGATTTCGGTGTCATGCGCTTTTAAATAGTTGTATCTAGAAAATTAAATTTCCATTGATCTCATTTCATACAGTGCGAGACAGAGTTTCAAAATCCTGTTCAGTCTGAGGGGAATATTGACAGAAAGGGTCCAGTGCAGAATGAGTCAACTCGAATAGATTGTGGTAAGTATTTTCTGATATGAACATTTTTGAGTTTCGGAGATACGTGCTTTACTAGATGAATGTTATTAACAGAATGGTTTTGACATTTGGTTTTGATGCAGACCAATCCTCAATGTTTCGGGTAACAAGCAATCATTCAAATGTGTTTCTTAGTGGAGACGCTGGGAATGGAATCAGGCTTCGGGCTCGCAAAACACAAAATCTAACTAGCACCGAGAACTTTGCGAGGCAGGGTGATGCACCAAGAAGACTACGGCTTCAGCGTAAAGTACTCTACTGCAGCAATTTGTCTAAAGATTGGAACTGTAGACCAGAAGACCGAGAAACAAAACCAATGGCTGTGGAGGTGAGAAGTTTGTGAAGCCCAAATAATGTCAAAGTCTGATGAGATTTGTTCAGGGATTGGTAATCCTTTTAACGCTGTTTGCAGGAGATAAGAGATACTGAAGAGAAAGCTGTTGATGCTGCTGTTAGTGATGCTGTTGATGCTGCTACTGATCCACCAAAAAAAGAAACCATGTCCACAAGACCAAACTTCACCCCAGAGGGCAGCATTCTGACAGGCGAAAGGGTCCCTAATGTGATCTTGCAGGCCTCTCCTGCTGGTCATTCTATGTGGTCATTTGCCTTTCTGTTTAGGGTAGTTGTTGTGGTTGCATTCTTGTTCATAATGTTGCTAGCGTATGGGGATTTCATAAGTTTTGATGCTGCTGGAAGCCCTTTTACCGCGCGTATGGCCTGAGCCCCATTTTTGAGGAAGGGGCTTGTTTTGTGAGGCTCACAGAATAGATCATTGATTTGTTAGGTCTGTTGATATTTATTTTTTACGTGCTTATTTTAGTATAACTCAGACCGAGTTCTCGTGTGTTTATGTACAGCAGCTAACAATTTTGAGGGTATTTTTCTTCCATAAATAAAATTATGAACTTTAGTTAAGCTGCACGGATTTATTAGAAATTGTTCGCTTTCCCCCCCCCCCCCCGCGTATATACTGGTTGCCCTTTATGCAATTAACAACACCAGTCTAATGAGAGTGAAAAAGGACTCTTTTTGGGTCAAAAGAGCGAAAAAGGAACTTAAGCAAAAGCGTTTACGAAATTACGTCTTTTGAAAAGTAAAGTGGAGAGTGTTTTGCTACCATCGCCAAAGTGAAAGCAACGAGCTTTGCAAGTGGAAGAATATTCACTTTATAATTCTACCCTTCTCTTACAGTCAAGTCAACAAACTATTCTTGTCCTCTTTCCGACCCATATCAGTTATTGGTTTTCTTCGCAATTTCGATCATACCAACAACAAAGATGGATTCTCGTTCGATCGCCAATTTTCTGCTCGTTTTACTGCTCTCACTTGCTTCTCTTTGTCCCGTCCATGGCACTCATCAGGAGGATCATAATACCAACTATGCAAAAGAGATTCTAAGCGCAGCCCAGCAAGATAAACAGTGGTTGGTCTCCATAAGAAGGCAAATCCATGAAAACCCAGAACTCAGATTCGAAGAGTACAACACCAGTGCTCTTCTACGCAGAGAATTGGACCAACTTGGCATCACTTACACATACCCAATTGCCAAAACTGGTATTGTTGCCCAAATTGGCTCTGGTTCGAGCCCTGTTGTTGCGCTTCGAGCTGACATGGACGCCCTCTCATTGCAAGTAAACCCCAACTTCTTTTTATTTTTTGTTCTGTAATTTTCAGCAAGTTTCTTTTTTTGTTTTTGTTTTGTGTTTTTTGTTTGTGTGAATTTTATAAGAGTAGTAATTGATGGCTTGTGGGGTGGGGATTTTTAGGAGCTTGTAGAGTGGGAGCACAAGAGTAAGGTTGATGGTAAGATGCACGGTTGTGGTCACGATGCTCACACCACGATGCTTCTTGGCGCCGCTAAGTTGCTTAATCAACGGAAAGACAAACTTAAGGTCAGTTAAGTTTTATGTTGTGCAGTCTGAGCACAAGTTTCAATTTTTCTGTGGATTCAGCAAGGAAAAACATCACTATAGAATAACTGGTTCAGCTTCTTCCCAAGAAAAACCGAAGCAAAACCCTTTCAAAGCAAGAAAAATTTGCGTAAAACTTCTCTTTCATATGGTGTTGAAGGGAACAGTGAGACTTATTTTTCAACCTGCGGAGGAGGGAGGTGCCGGCGCATCTGAGATGATAAAAGGAGGTGCGCTTGGTGAAGCTGAAGCAATATTTGGGATGCACGTTGCTTATGGAATACCTACCGGAACTATAGCATCCATTTCAGGGCCACACTTAGCTGCTGTTTGCTTTTTTGAAGCCAAAATGGTCGGGATTGGCGGGCATGCTGCAGAACCCCATCTTACTGCTGACCCAATACTTGCTGCCTCATTTGCAATTTTGGCATTGCAACAACTCATCTCAAGAGAAGTTGATCCCCTCCATAGCCAAGGACTCGAGAAAGCTTGAAAGGGAATTCTGACACAATACAATTTGTTGACAGGAGATTCTTTTTACTCCGATAACCAAAAGGCAGGATCAAGATATAAAATCCATATGCCTTCTTCTTCAGTTTACTCTTTCCAGCAATAGCTAAGTATAGATATATATATATATATATATTTTTTCATTCCAATTTCTATTGTTTGTCAACTTGAACAATTGGTGAAGAGACAGTTACTTGACATCTCTGAAAGAACTTATATGATGACTCTATTAAATGTAGGTTTCAGAGCCTTCATCTGTTTATGTTTAGCATTTATTTTTCTATATAAGATTCTGTTTATCTTTCCTGTCCTTTATCCTCTTCTCTCTGTTCGCTTAACTATTCTCTCCCACATTGTATCATCACGTTCAATTTTCAGCCTGTTTTGGTATGCAAGAATTATGCATATAGAAGGAACAAAGACATAAAAACCTGCACTTCAGCTTAATGCTAATAGCTAGTTTTCTGCTGAAGGTTCTGTCCGTTACTTATGTTAGAGGTGGGAGTGCATCCAATGTAATTCCATCACATGTTGAATTTGGGGGCACATTGAGGAGTCTTACAACTGAAGGCTTGTGGAAACTCAGGAGGCGGTTGAAAGAGGTACACGCCATTCGCTAACCATTTCTCATTACACTTAATAGGTATATTACTACATCATTGTCATCACCACCCTATTATCTTTACTCGAAAATCATGCCCGATGTTATGTCGTAGCTGAGTAGGTAGGCTGTTAGCCTGTTTCAAGAGAACAAAGATAGAAGTGAGTGAAGTAGCTGGTTCATATTTATAAAGTTGGTGATGCCTTAAAAATTGGAATTGCTTGCAGGTTATTGAGAGCCAGGCAGTGGTGCACAGATGTAATGCATATGTCGACATGAAAGATGAAGAATTCCCACCATTACCTGCTGTTTTCAATGATGAAAGCTTGCATCTGCATGTGAAGAGGGTTGGAGAACTTATGCTTGGTCCTGAGAATGTGATGGCGTGTGAGAAACTCATGGCAGGTGAAGACTTTGCCTTCTATCAGGAAGTGATACCTGGAGTGATGTTTAGCATTGGAATTAGAAATGAGGAAGTGGGTTCAGTTCACTTTCCACACTCCCCTTACTTCTTTCTTGATGAGGATGTCCTTCCAATTGGGGCAGCATTACATGCTGCCTTGGCGGAGATTTATTTGGATAGCCACCAACATTCGGTTAAACAGTAAAATTTCAGAGCAATTGGTGCGGAGCGTTCTTCAGAAATTTGGTGGTTTGGTTGCATGCTGCTATATTGTACTAAGCAGTGTCAAGCTGATAAAGTAATGAATGAGAATGTAAATTTGTTTCAAACCAGTGAAGAATTCGTTTTGTTTAATGATTCACTTGTTTATAAACAAACAAAAAAGGTTAAGGAAAATGAAAATTTTCAGGTTGAAAGTCAACAAGAGAGTACCATTAAATGTGAATGTTTCATTTCCTCATTTGGGCCGATACGGATTGATCCCATAGACAAAGGTGGGCAGGCACGCTTAACAAACTATACAGTCCATTATGATGCTATGCTTCAGAATATACACTGTTTACCACCCCAGCCATTTTTGGATATTCCCTTCAGGATACGAATTGTTTTCTGTTTAATTGCCGAAATTCTTTGGTCACGCTTAACAAACTAACCCCTAATACTTGTTCTTTTCTTCCAAGAAAATGCAAAGCAGAACCCTTTCAAAACAGGAAAATTTTGCGTTAAACTTTTCTTTCATATGGTGTCGAAGGGAACAGTGAGACATCCCTTTCAGGGCTACTCTTAGCTGCTGTTTGCTTTTTTGAAGCCAAAATGGTCGGGATAGGCGGGCATGCTGCAGAACCCCATCTTACTGCCAACCCAATAGTTGCTGCCTCATTTGCAATTTTGGCATTGCAACAGCTCATCTCAAGGGAAATTGATCCCCTCCATAGCCAAGTAAGTCCCTTTATTTTCTGTGGAGCGTTCTGGAAAAACTTGATGGTTTGGTTGCGTGCTGCTATGTTGTACTAAGCTGTGTCAAGCTGATAATAGTGTAAGAGAATGTATTGTTTCAAACAAGTAAAGAATTCGTTTTTGTTCAATGATTCACTTGTGTACGGATGAATAATGTCTTTTTTTATAGGAGAGATTTTTTCACACACACGCATTATCGGGGTGTTATAGGGTCGAACCTGAGACTACTGATTTGCAAATCAATGTCTATTTTCACTGGACTATACCTCATTGCCACAAATAAATAAATTAATTAAAAAAAGGTAAAATAAAATGGAATTTTCAGGTGGAAAGTTCTACTAGAAGAGTAATTTAAAAGTGACTGTTTTAATTCCTCATATTGGGGGCCATATGGATGGACATAAACTATTGCCTAGAATCTTGGATTATCTTTCGGCCTCTTTTGGTGAAACTCAATGCCTTAATACTTTTTTTTCTTTCTTAATGATATGACTAGTTTTCTGTTTAATTGGATAAATTCTTCTATGTTACTGTCACACGGCTACATGGTAATGTGACGATGATACTCGAGAATTTTCAGTTTATTTGAAGCATTATTCCAAACACTAGCAAGCCAGGTGCCCTAACAATAGTCTTTTCTTGAGAATATTGAATAATGCTCTAATATTTATATGTTTGTGGGATCATCAAATGATTCAGAAGATCATGTGTATTTAGTACTAGCAACAAACAAATCCAAAAATAATTGGGTGGTTGATTATGATTACGTTACTAACCAGGCCAAGTAATCATCCAGATTCTTCTAACCGCCCATCCCAACCAATGCATGGAGCGCACCCTGGCTTGATTAGAATCTCTTAATTAGCTTAACCTTTTGAAAGTGCAAATCATTCTCACCCGCGTAACCTAAATCTTCCAACTTTATTATTGAAAAAAATGGATAAAGGTAATCCAGGTGGTCAACCTAAATTCTTTTTGGCTTAACTTTAGTTAAGCATGAGGCCGCACAAGATACGTTGTTGGTTGGTGAAATTGAGTGGTTGTGATCATTCACCAAACTTTTCAACTTCGGGCTTCTGTTGGTGTCCCTTTGCTGACTCACTCCCACGTGTAACCACCATGGTAAGTTGGGCCTCCTCTTTCTGAATTGGTACGAAAGATGAAATCTTTTTGTTCAAAAAGTTTCTGCATTTAACTTTGGCTCTTGGGAAGCAAACCAACGAAAGGAGGACGATCAGTTTTCAGCTTTCGTTTCAAAAGCATGGTTGGCTTTGATTTGACACAAGGAGATATATGAACCAAAATGGATAAATATTTGCACCAAACTTACAAATTTTAATCTCCTCCTCTCCTATATGTATTTGCTTGAAATGGGCAAATGGGTAAAGGTAAGCTGCACCTGCATGGTGAAAGAAATACCATCACTCTTTTGGTGAGGAAATTAAAGTGGGAACTAATTAATTAATCACCAAGAGAGAGAGAGAGAGAGAGAGAGAGAGAGAGAGAGCTTTCTCAATAACCTGAGAAAACAGCAAAAGAAAGATAAAAGGGAGAC